ATCTCATGGTTGTCTTGATTTGCATCTCTCTCAGGGCTAGGGATTTTGAACATTTCTTCATGTGCTTGTTGGCCATCTGAATGTCTTCCTTGGTGAACCAAAGATCCTTTTAATACTAATGTAAAATTCTGGCTTCTTAAGGGAAAATTTCAGAAAGATGCCCCTTGCTGGTTACAAATGTATAACCTTGTCTCTCATCCCATTCCTGTTCTGTCTGCAGCCATTAATGGTGTATAAACTTCTGGTGTAGTCCATAAGATGTGATGCAAATCCGAAGGCTAAGGCCCTAGCACTTTTGAGTCCAACAGCGACTTACTTCAAGGGAGAAAAATGGACAGTCTCCTCCTGTGTGATTTACAGCTGATGGCTTTCAGCCTAATGGAGGGTCAGATGGTTCCCACTCTGTAGCAGTAAATTTTGAATATTCTGCTACAGAAGTGTTAATACCTGAATTTAGGTCCTTTCACAGACACCTTTTCACCTTATATGTTATGCACAACACCACCTCAAGTCAAGTTTGTCACCTAGCTTAATGCAAAACCTTTTGATTCTCGGAGCTGCTTCGTTTTCAGAATTCGGTATAAGAGATATTTTATAAGAAGAGCTGATGTCTCTTATGTCTGGAAAAATACCCAAGAGAACTTTCCAATTTCTTTTTTTTTTTTTTTTTAACTTTCCAATTTCTTAAGTGTTTCTGGATTATCTTACCATGAGCCTGTATAAATATCAATAAGCTTTTCCTCATTTTTCTTTATGTACTAGTTTCTATATATATATCTGGAGAGGAAAAAAATAATATTAGAAAGTTGTTCTTCCTCTAAGTTTAATTTGCATCTTAATTACTTGAATCTTGTAGGAAGTGGGAGATTTTTGCATTTCTCACCAGCTCCCAGGTGATGCTAATATTAGTGCTAAGGTCTATACTGTGATTCCAGTGACACACATTCTAATAGTAACCCTCCAGTGAATTTTCAGTGCTGTAAATCTTCACAGAAGGAGACAGCTTATTCTTCACAGAGCGCTTGGTGAATTTGAACCACTAACCTGAACAGTTGACATGTTTTGCACTAAATCACTGAAGTTCCTCTGATAACGGTTTAAAGTACAGGAAGTTGCCAGGCTCAGTCTCCTACAGACAACTCATGCTTGCTGTCGATCCAATCCTAATATACAACAAATTCTTTATTACAGTCATCTTCATTTGTTGCACATACAGGTTTAAAATAATTTAAGAACTTCAAGTCTTTTCTTGTTTTGGTATAAAGGTAAGTAAGAGCCTTAGACAACCCATCTGATTTACCTAAATATTTGACGTGGAAGTGGTTATCTTTGGTATCCCTGGAACTGTTTTCTACATAGTAACACTCTTAAGTTGGTTTGAAAGAAAAATAATTTTTTGAGCTAAGTATACATAAACATACTATGTATATTCTATGACTATAAAAGTAATCCAAAATATTTAAGAGAAACAATAATGTAGCCTATTTCACTTCATCCCCAGAACCTTAAAGAAGTTTTTCTTATGTACTTTATGTTTTCTATTGCTTCCATGAGAGCTCTAAAATAGTTGAAAGTAGTAATTCTTATGGCCAAGTCTGTAGGGATTTTCACTAACTCAGTAACCTCTGACAGATTTACCAATGACACTGAGAAGAAAGATGGATAATCTCTTCCATTGCGAGTCACAGCTTCAGAAACATGAATTGGTTCTGACTTGAAAGCAATGAGAATGTCTGACTTGGTGAGACAGGGCTTTTTCAGTTTGTAATCCTATATGAATACAGATATGATGGCAAACTGAGAAAACTGATTTTGTGAGCTAAGCTGAACTGAACTCATTTTCCCCCCTTTTATAAAGTGAAGTAAGTAAATAAACAAGTATACAATGGTTATGTGAGGCTCATTCACCCAT